AGGTCTGTGCCAATGCAGTGATGCTCCTTCTGAACCCAGAAGTTCAAGTCTGCAATTTCAGGAGGGCGCTGCAATCTTTGGGACCTACCCCATGCGTTTCCACCTGCTGGATGACTCTTACAAGTCTTGGTGGACAGCCCTTGGCCCTCCAAAGTCATGACCTGGCCTTCACTCCAAATGAATGAGTAAGTAAATATCCAAGCTCAATGCACCTCCCTTTCTACTAAAGTTTGACAGGATGTAAACTCATGACCAAGAAAAATGAGGTTTCCTCTAACAACTATGTGAACGACAGAAAAAATTCATTTTGTCACCCACATTAACGGCCTAGGGGATAGGCCTATTTAAGAAGCTGAAGGAAGGCTCTAGGGGGATAATTGAATTCCTGAGTTAGGAAGACAATAGTGATTATTTTTTAGAAGACTGGAGGAACAAAAGTTTGCGGGTTTTAGATAAACAGATGACAAAAGGAGCCCATTTGCGATACCAGACTTGACAAGGAGAACCCTAAGGGCTTAGATTCTCTGAAAAGACAAACATCTTGGAGTGTTTACCTCTCAGACTTCTGAGTGTGATTTTTAGATTTGCCTTGGAGTCTGGTACCCACAGTCTTTCAACATTACTGCCCAACCCTATACTAATGGGTCAATACATTGAGGGCTCACTACATTGAGGGCTTTAAGTTGTTTTTAGTCAATTCCTAGATTAAAGGGAAAGAAATTGGACTCTTGACAAGAACAGTGGCAGCTCATATCCATAGACAGCCTAAGTGGACCAAGCACTGTTTTTTAACTATGTTTTATATTCATTACCTACTTCTCAGAACCATCCTGTAAGGTAGGTGCTATTATCATCAAATCTACTTTCCAGATGGGGAAACTGAGCCTGGCTGACTTTATACATCAGCCCAGAGTCATGTAACTAGCCATAGCAGGCCTGGGACTGGAAGCCTGGTGGTTTGACTCCAGAGCCCACCCCTACCCTCACTTAGCCTATGTTGCTAAATGGCGTAATGTTTGGTAAAGTTTAGTCTGCAGTCCAGTCTTTGATTGTACATGGGAACAAATATTCTCTTCACAAGGGTCAAGAGTATATTCCAGAGACAAAAGGAATAAAAGGACTCTAAGTCAGAAACATAGCTCTTGCACCTATATAAACTATGAAATAAAATAATCACATCTTTGAAGTGGCTGACAGCTTGGCAAAATGGCCTAAAGAATGCTGGGAGTGAGTTTCTGTGGAACCCAGCTTGGAAAACCCATGTGTGATTCGTGCTTCCTCCTCTAGAGAAGCCTGAATCAGTATCAACTGCATTGTTGACTGAATCAATATCATCCTGAACTGTTGAAGGCTCTGTCCTGGTTTCCAAACTTGTTCCTCCCTTTATATGTTTAATACATATCTGATGAATGAAATAATGAATGAATGAGCGAATGAGTGCACCTGTGTTTCTTCTTCCTTCCTTAGTCTTTCTTACTACCTCCCTTCCACACTTGCTGCCTATCTCCTCAAGGGAAACAGAGTCACAGCACTGGCTAAGATTTTACAACTGCTCCCTACAGCCTGATGTGAAACGCAAATTTGTCTCATCTTCAGACAAATTAATGCACCAGGTCTTTATCTAAGCCCTATCTGCCCAAAAACCACCATTTGCTATGTCAATACTTACTCGTGGCCAGGAGACTCTTTGAACTTGCGAGTCCTTTTCCTTGGAATGCTCTCCCTTACTCTTATCATTAATATGTAGACTGTCAGAACCAGAAGGGACCTCAGGAATCAAGCCCAACCTCCTACCTACAGCTGGAAATCGCTTCAAAACATCCTTGACCCACCCACAATCAACCAAGCCCCGCTTTGAAAATGATCCTTCATTTGCCACTTAAAGTTGTTAAAAGCTTACCTCTGTTAAGAAAACTTCCCTCACTAATTAAGAAATCATTCATTCATTTACTCATATTTGTTTATCAGACACACTGAGTGTCTGTTATATGCCAGGAAATGTGCTGGGTCATGGAGGCCATGAAGATGAATAAGCCATGATTCCTACACACTGTTCTTTAGAATCTAATAGTCTGGGTCTGCAGAACAGATATGTGACCAGTATTATCATAATTCTGGAAGATACACCATCAGTGTGGGTACCTATATGTAATGGGACAGAAAGGCAAATAATTAATGATTCCTCTCAGGAGGAATGGGGCTTGATCTAGGGAGACTTCACAGGGAAAGCACCATGAAAAGCTAACTTTTGAAGGAGGAGAAGTCTGGAATATTCAAATCAACAAAGTGGAAGGAGGTGGCTACAGGGGGCTGAGCATCTCAAACTTACTGTGCACTGATAATTCCTTCATATCACATTACTTCAGGCTACTAAATAATTTGTATTCACTGGAAGAGTATTTTGTACACTGCCTGTGGCTCGGTGAATTGGTCTAATCCTTTTAGAAAGCAATACATAAAATAAATAAATAAATCAAGAACTATACAATGGCCGTAACTTAGATCTAGTAATCACATCTGTGGGACTCTACCTTGAGGAAATCATTAGCAAATATGGAAAGGATTATATGCATGGAGATAATATATATTAGATTACCAAAATAGGGGAAGAATCAGAAAGTGAGTCTCCAATGTGTTTCACTGGAAAATCAGCAAATGAACTACAGTACATTTATTAGAGGGGGTCATGTATTATGCAGCTCTTAGTTTTGGATATTATATGACAACTTGGAAATATTTATTCATCTAATGCTAACTGGAAAACAGCAACAAATGTGTGTATGTGATCACAACTTTATTTTAAAAATCATATACATAACAAAAAGGGTCTAAGAAGAAATGGCACCAAAATGCTAGTAAACATTGGGCTGAAATGAGGTAAGTCTGGGAGACATGTTCCCTTCTTTTTTCTATTTTCAAGCCTTCTGTTATATGGTTGTTTTGTTCCCTTATAACCTGTAAGGAGTTTTGTGTGGGTGCGCACGCGCGTGTGTGTGGGTGTGCGTTTTGTTTAATCTACAGAATGAATTTCACTCTCTACAATCGTGGTATAAACTTCTTCCAGAAGCCACTAAATCTTCTAGTTCTCGCTGTTTTTTCCCCTCTTCTCATTACTTTGTAAAGTGCCCACGTCTGAACACATAGTGGATGTCCATTCAGTGATAAGGTGGCTGACAAAGTTCAGCCTATATCCCTGCACGTGGCTTTCCTAGGGTTCAAGACCATTAAGAGAATCAGCAATACTTGACAAACCCGGCTTTTATATGTGTTAGATGTTCTTCTAAGCACTTTTCAGATACTAATTCATTAAATACAACAATCCTATGAGGTAGATATTATTATTAATATCTTTTTTTTTTTTACAGCTAAAGCAAACTGACACACATAAAAAGTTAGCCACTTTCCCAAAACTGTCCAAATACTTGGGTCACAGAGCCAGGATTTGAACCCAGAGAGTAGAGCTCAAGTGTCTCTGCTCTTAAGGATTCAAAAGAGGAACTTTGAAAGAGCCAGCTATCTAGACAGACAGGTAGACAGGCCAGGAAGACCTACATGGATAGCTGGGTGGTGGGGTAGGGGAGTAATGTTGGAGGGTGGGGGTTGGGAGCCATATTTAATGTAAGCCCCTTCCCAAATGGAAGCCTCAGCTTCTGGCAGCAATTTCTGTCTGATAGGATGGCAGACATTGAGTGGCATCTGGAGTATGAGTGATCACCTCTGTGTAAAAACCTGGCTCAGTGCTGGAGAGGGATCAGAGATAGTACTTAGATAAAGGAAAAAGCATAAGGGAGCTACATATTTCTATAAACTGTGTCTTGATATTTTCCTACCCTATAGCTCCCAAAGCAGATATAACTGTTTCTCTTCTGATAAGTTTGTTTAGATTATAAAGTACAAATTTTTCCTGGAATTTTAGATACCTCAGAACTAGAACAGACATTTTATGGCCATCTAATCTAGACCCTGTCCATCCCTCTACCCTTAACATACATACACACATTCTTATAAACAGAAGAGGAGAAATATCCACTAGAAATAACAAGCAAGGGACCCAGTGCACAGAAAGGTATCTGTGACCCCCCTATTGCGAGTGATTAACCAAAGGAGGCAGGAGCCATTATGCAAACACAATGACAGGTCCAATGACAAAGTTCCAAGTGATTCTTCTGATGGGTCCCACTGATGTTTCTTCATATACATTCTGGATTGAATAAATGTTTAGATGATATGGCTGACCTCTTGGTCCTATGTTTTTAATTCATTAGTTTCAAATCTTATGAAGAGGCTTCTCAAATATCTACCCCAGTGAAAGGTCAGGATTATTCACAAGAAACCAAGAGTCTGAAGGCAGCTTATCTAAGTTGGGACATTTATCATGGAGATTTCATGGCTTCCAAACCACATCTGAAATGACTGTGTTCTACCAGCCTGTACTACCCGCACTCCTACTTTCAAGCCTTATCCAAGAACAAGGAGAGGCTCTCTCACTGGAAATATACCTCTCATCCCCTACACAAAACATCCCAACTTTTTAAGAGAAAATCTGACATGTTACCCAGCCCCACTTGAGTAGAGTAGGGGACTCTTCTATATTCTCCACATTAAAGATGCTATGTGTCCTTACTCTTCCTAATGACAATCTATTCTTAAATTTCAGACTTCACTATTTCCTTTTCAGCTTTATCAATGCCAGAAACCATGGCAAAATACCTGAGACCAAACTTCTCATATCATAGATGAGGAGAGGAAGCCCAAGAAGAAAAGGATATTACCCTAGTGTCAAGGTGGTGACAGAGTTGCTCTCGGTTCTCATTCCAGGACTCCTTTTGCCCTACCCTCCCTCAACTTCCATGTGGCACTGAAGGTGACACTGTGTAGCCATGAAGCCCAGGAGGAAGCAGAGACTGCCCCAGTCATTTCCCTACCCTCTTCCCTAGCCCTTTTTGCAGACCCCTTGTGTGAACCTGCCCCCAGTAAAAGGAAAGATAATAAGATCTTACTCATCTCCATGTACTCTGGAGTCAGTCCAGTGTATGGCTCCAAGCTGTAGTCTAGGTCCCACTGCTCTGGATGCTTTGAGTGGGCAGAGTCAGTTTCTCCAGGTTCTGTCTCATCTTTCAGCTTCCGAAATAGTTTCTTTAGTTTCCTGGAAAAGAAATGGACCAGTCACTAAAAGCCTTTGGAAGACAGAGTTAGTTATACAGACAGAAGGAGGAGAAAAACTAAGGCTTTTTGACACTGCAGTTATCTCTGCTCCAAGGACACACAGAAGGACACTAAAAAGACTACTTTTCTCTTAAAGACAACCTGGGGTTTTTCAACAGGATAAGGAAAGGTTCCCCCCAAAAAGGGTCAGGTTTCTTCAAAACCAAAGAAACTGAATTCTTCCTACTGTTTGATGAGCAGCAAAAGAGTTGGCCCTTCTTGCCAAATGCTGAGATCATCCTATTGTCTAACAGGTGATCTATCCACCCTCTTCATGGGGAAGAGAGGATGCCCAGAAAGTACTAGAAAGATGCTTTCCTCCAAGCTCAAACATTTTCAGGTCTTAATAACATAAACAGTACCATATTTTTCATTAAATCCAAACTAAATGTTGTCAACTACTCTTATGGGTTGAAGTGAGTCCCCCAAGATTCACCTGTTGAAGCACTAATCCCAGATGTGCCTGCATTTGACTACAGGGCTTTTAGTAGGTAATTAAGATTAAGTGAGGTCATAAAGCTGGGGTATTAATCCAATAGGACTGGTAGCTTTATAAGAAAAGGAAGAGACAGTGATCTTTCTCTCTCCACCATGTGAGGAAGGACACAGTAAGAAGATGGTTATTGCAAGCCAAGAAGAGGGCCCTCATTAGAAACCAAACTCTACCAATTCTTGATCTTCGACTTTCCAGCATCCAGAACTGTGAGAAATAAATTCCTGTTGTTTATGCCACCCAGTCTATGATATTTTGTTATGGAAGCCCAAGGAGACTAAGTCAACCAAGATAATAATGGCCCAGCCTCTCAGTGCTTGGATGAGAATTGAGTGAAACAATGTCTATATGATCCTTAGCATAATATCTGGACATAGTAAGCATTCAATAGGTAATTAATATTTTTATTTTTAATATTAAATGCTAAAATATGCCTGAGGATATGGTCTTTTCATACTTCCCATTAATGCACAATCATAGGGAATGAAATTAGGAAAAGGAACAAGGTGCCAATTCTGCTAATCAATCTAAGAGAAAGTTTCTAGGAGATAGTTGGGAGGAGAATTAATAGCAGAACAGTCAGAATCATGGACGTGAAAAGTTAAAGGGATTTTGAAGTCCATGCTCTATTCAATGCAGGAATTCCCCCCACATTCCCTACACAAGATGATTTAACCCCTGTGTTTCCAGAAGAACATTCTCAATATCATTAGGTATAGCATTCCATTGTTAGAAAGTGCTTCTCACAGTTAGTGGAAATCTAATGGTTCAAAACAATGTTTTGATCAGTGTCTTGTCTACTACCATTTGTCATCAAGAAGATGTAGTATAGTAGTGTAGTGTAGTGGGTAGAAGTCTGATCTTTGATGTCAGAAAATAATTGTTTAAAACCCAGTTTCACAACTCACCAGCTATATTTTTTTGGTCAAGCTATTAAAACTCCGTAAGATTTAATTTTCTTATCTATGAGAAAATAAATATCAGATACCCCATAGGGTCAGTTAAGGAGATAATCTCTGTAACATGCTTAGCTTAGGGCTTGGTACATGCTAAGAGCTCAATAAGTATATTTATCCTTGTCCCTTTCATCACCGTCATCATTATCACCATCACCATCACAGAAGGATTTAAAGAATGAGTTGAGATCCACAGAAGCCACAGTAAAATACAGTATTTCATAATAAAAGAGCAAGCAAGAATTCTGTGATAATAAGAAATTGAGAAAAATCTAGGTGAAGCCTAAAGATTCTGAAGCCAAATAGTTTGGACTGGCTGAGACCCTGTCTGTAGGTCAGGGCAAAAGGAGAAGTGAAGAAAAAAAAATGAAAGAGAGAAAAAAATAAAAAGAAAAAAGAGAGAAGGAGGGAAGGATGGAGGAAGGGACGGTCTGGAATCAGAACTAAAATTGAGACTTTTCCTCCAGATAGCAGTAATCAGAAAACGTGGCCAAATTTTTAGTAAAGAATAATCAGTGGTTTTAATTAAATATGGAAAATTGAGCACATGTATATATCTCTTTTCTGAAACACGACTAAAATGATAGCGAATGAATTTTAGAATAAACAAAACCACAAGGTTAAAGAAAACAGTCATGAATACAGCAGTGTATAAGAGATGTTAATAAATACCTTAGAATACAGACAGTGGATAAAGGGGTTAGCAAAGCTGTGATGGCTGAACACCAAGTGCCTGCAGTGAAAAGCAGCAGAAAAAAAAGCAAGCCCTCTCATGCTGGAATCTCAAAAAGGTTCAGAAGTTTTAGGCACTAGGTACTGCTAAAGGCAGGCAATAGTGATTGGTCAAGGCACTGCTTAAGGAGGAAGAGTAGACCCTAGTGTCTCTGCCCAACCATATTGCCCAGGTGACTGACTACCACTTCTCCCACAGGAGGATTAAGAAGTTTATTAATTAATCAGCAGGATTAAGAAGTTTATTCAGAGGAAAAAATGAACTGGGGAAATTACAGATCTGAAATGAGTCCAATAAAATGATCGGAAGTAAAAAAATCAATAAACTCACAGAAAAAAATAGAAAAGAAATAAATAGACAATAGGAAAGAAAAGACAATAGGAAAGAAAAAATAGAAAAGAAAATAAATAGACAATAGGAAAGACAAATAAGCAACTCCAACATTTAATCAGAGAGAGAAGACAGAGAAAATGGTGAGGAAAGCATAAAGAAATATAAGAAAATGTCCAGAGCTGAAAGATATGCATTTTCTGATTGGAAGGACCTACTCAGCATAATGATGAAAAAAAGGACTTCCACCAAAGCCCATCACCATGAGATTTCACAACTCTAGGAACAATGAACATGATTCTAAAAGCTTCCATGACTAGAGAGACAAACAGATTCTCTAAAAATTATTTGGAACAAAAAGATATTAGAATTCTCAACATCAGTCCTTGACATTAGAAAGCCCCAGGGAAATTTATTAATATTGAGAAGGCAAATGATTTTTAGCAAGGGATTTTATACCTAGCCAAAGTATACATCAAGTGCAAAGGCAGAAGAAAAAATGTAAAACATGCCTTTAAAAACAAGGTTTTTAAAAAGATATCCATGCATCCACTCTTGTGGATCCACTCTTGTTCCTGGAGAATGAATTTCACCAACCAATGATATAAAACAAGAAAGGTAACAATGGAATCCAGCAAACAAGAAATTGCAGAAAAAGGAAGTGCTAGATCTAACTGGGATTCACAGCTACATAGAAGGTTCAGTGAACAGTTTTGGTTTGAACAGGAGAATGAAGATTCCCAGAGGATGGTCTCCAAGAAAAAAACAAGACATCTGATGTGTTAAATGAGGCCATATAGCTGGGAAAATGGACACTTAACTACTGCCAATAATGTGTAGTAAGTATCATGAAGGGAGAAGTTTAGGTAATTATGACAAAATAAAACAAAGAAAACTAACCTGACCTGAAGCAGGGGATGTTTTCCCCAAGGAAGAGATGCATAAACCAACTAAATGATAAAAGATGGCAGAAGCATAGGAAAGGGAAAGTGGCATGATGGGTGAAGATGTGTTCTAGGCAGAGGAGATCATCTGTGCAGTGGCCAAAGGCAAATATGAGAACAGCTCAGAGAAGGGACTGAATGGAGTTCCACATGCTCGGAGCATGGAGTAGGAGAGGAAAAGTGAGGAAAGAGAAGAGCAAGAAGGCAGCACAAGTCTATGGCATGGAAAGTTAGCCATATTAGGCAGTGACCCAGCTGACAGATTATGGCAGCAGAGTCCAGGGTAATTGCAGTGGACATGAGAAGGAGGAGGCAGACTGAGACAGGCTCAGGAAGCAGACTTAAGAAGCTGTGGTGACCTGTACATGGGAAAGAGAGGAACCAAGGACCATTTTGGGGTCTTCAGGCTTGCGTGTGGATGGTGGTACAGTTTGCTGCGACAAGGAACACTAGAGAAGAGGCCCTTTTGATGAGGGGGAGGCAGGCGTGTCAAGGCAGAGGATCCCACAGGACAAGAAAGTAGGGATGTCTAGTAAGCATTTTATACATGGGTCTAGAGCCCTGAAAACAGATTTGGGTGGAAGCTAACAATACTGAGAATCATCCTGGAGAGAGCAACCAAAACCATAGCAATGAGCCCCACCTGTGGATGGAGCACAGGGAAGGAATACCAACAGTCCAGGGATGGGGAGAGGGAGAGGAGCTTTCCAAGGGCAGGAAAGCAGAAGTCACAGGAACAGAAGGCCAACTGCTAGACCATGTAGCAAAGAAGGGAAGGGCAGAAGGGGAGCTTCAGGAATGACACTGCAGTCACTGTGTAATACACTGTGGGCACGTCGAAGACGATGAGGGGAAAAACAATCCACAAGTAATTCTTATGAACCCTTCCTTCCCAGAAGCTGCCCTTCTGGAGATCTCAGTGACCATTAAAAAAATTAATAAAGAAGGTCCCTCAAGAATAGGATTTAACAGGAATCCTGCAAATTTTATACCATACAGATGGGCTGTTTGGAAAACTTCAGATTACGATTCCGGCTGTACGATGCACTCACTCGTTAAAATAACTCCTTTGATGTTACCCGCTTGTCCTTTTCATCTGCTCTGCTATTTTTCCGTCCCTTTTTAATGACAGGTCCGAGAAACTGTCTGGAAGGCTTGGAGCCTTTCCTTTGCTTGTGCCCCATGGGCTCATCCCAAGACCATGGTGATTGTCTGTCACACCTTAGGCCTTCCCACTGCAGGAATCTGGGGCCTAGGCAGCTCCGTATGCCTCAAGCCTCATTAAAGAAGGCAGGACTAAGCACTAAATGAGCCAAACAGGATGAACACAGCAACCTCTGAGCTATGATTCCTCTCCTTGACACCTGACAAGGTTCAAATTTGTTCCTTAAACTTCTGATTCATGGCCAGATTCCACTGTCTTTGAGAACACAGACCTCCTTTGCCTGTGATGGCTTTAAAGTGAGACTGTTTTATGTCTTGAAATGTAATATTTATCACATTTACTGAAAAAAAAAGCATAAAGTTTATAGAATCTTGCTGGCCGTGTCCAGGGTACATTACAACTATTTGGGGATGTGATCTGGTGTTTTTAGTAAGAATAGGGATGGGGGGACATTTTGCTAGTGGAAGTATTGATCTATTTGCTCTGTCTCAGACTTTGCCCAGGAAAGAATCTGGCATTTGGAAAAGGTAGGCATTTTACCTTTTATTAAAAAAAAAAAAAAACACCCATCTTTCTGAATGATAAAAGGCTCATTTCCAACTTTCCTTCAAGGAAGACTGGAACTAAGTTTGAGAGAAAATTATAGTGAGAAGTTAGGATGTGGGGTGGCACGTTTTAGGGGCACCATCTGATTCATACCAAAAGTCTATATTGCACAAACACATATGGGAAAGGCAGGGTGTGGGGGGCAGCAGTGAGGGAACAGAAACCCCCGATAGGGGACTCAGGTAATAAATAGCACAAGATCAGATTCTGCCATACCGCCCACCATGTCTGAAGTCATCTCAGATGGAGCTGCCGATGAGCATTGTTCTGGGGCCTGTAATGTTTAAAACCATCCAGTTCCTCTCTGGAAAGCATCTGTCACAACTGTGTCAGGCCCCAGGAGCCTGGGGTTGCTAAGTGGGGATAGTTCAAGGCCAGATCACGCAACCCAGTTTTATTTATTATCATGTCTTCAATTAGTCACAGAGCTGCCTTTAAAGAGCCTAGTGCCCCCAGTTTTATGGCCTCCCTTTGAAGCACTTTGTGTTTCCATCCCCAGGGTCTCTGAATCAGGCCTAGCCAAGGTGGGACTGCTGCCGTCTGGTGGAAGGTGCCTGGAGGGAGCTGGGCTTCTGCACGGCCCTGTCTGGGACACCTGCCAGATTTAGGGGCAGCAAAGGAGAGTCTGAGAGAGTTGGTGGAGCTTATCCAGGTCCCAAAGGGCAGCTGTACAGTAACCATGGACATGCCTAGTATCTGTGCCAGCCTTGTGGAAGCCTGTGGGATTAAGAAGTGATAATATTGCTCTAAAGCAACGTTTCCCAAGCAACAGTCACATTCCAACAGCAGTTCATTTGACACCTTTGGAGGTCCTTACACTTGGCCCTCATCTCATTAGATGCTCCCGTTCAGCTCATTTCCTGCTCCTGTTCAGCCCCTCTGATGGTGGTTAAGGAGAAAACCCCAGTCTGCTGCTGGCATGTCTTTAACAACTCCCCAGTGCCCGTGCAGCTTCCTTTAGAACAAAGAGAATGCAGATCTTAAGCTAATGTCATTGGTTATTTAATAATGTTTACTTCTGACTGTATTTCTTTCTACTGTGATTTGCTGTTCACAGTAGCTGATAGTGTTCATGTTCCATTTTCAGAAATGTAATGAATTTAAATAAAACATGAGTTGCTTTAGAGGAAATTAATATGCAACAGTCACTTAGGTAGTTATGGAGAAAAAAACTTAAAGGTTAGTTCACAAATCACCAAAGATTGGACACAGTGTTCTACAAGAAGCCTACTAGAGTATACAATTCTCAAGGGCATTAAAATTGTGGTTATGGTATGTTTGTAAGACACACACACACACACACACACACACACACACACACACACACAGAGAATCTACTAAGAATGTTGCATCCTTCAACCTCAGGGAGAGAGGTAACTGACTACCTGGCTTACTGATAAAGGTCACTTAGATAGTCTCTTAATATTTTAAAACTTTCTTTGGAAAAATCTTAGAAAACTACTTCCAGAAGTGGATGATAAACATCTTCTAATTGTATAATCTCATGTTTTTTTACCCCAAATATTCTTAACTAGTATAATCACCTACCTAACTCCTCAGCCTTGCTTCTGTTTTTAAAAATCAAATCCGGTATCTAAGACTAATATTTACCTCCCTTGGGGAAAGAATTTGATGTAGGCTCTGAAGGTACATGACTCAAAGGCCATCAGGCCCTGAACAGAAGAGAAAAACAGTGCTCCTGACTTGATCTTTTTAATCTCACTCTTGGGCTTGCAACAGTCACAAAGCGTCACTTACAAACATAAAGCTAATGACATTCAGTAACACCTTGGCTGCCTGGAGCCCCTAAGAACGGTTCTTCCTTTCTCGGATTTCATATGCTCTATTTTCGAGATAGCTGAGCATTTATCCAACCTTTATTTGTACATAAGCCAGGTTGCATGAAAATCTTTCTAGAATAACTTTAACAAGGTCACACAGTGAGTATACTACAATGGCTCAATTTAAACCCAGATCTATTGGACAATCTCTGTCTTACTGAAATGTGCTACCCCCTCCAAAGAATTCAAGACCAATGGGTCTTATTCTTATCATTTATACCTCTTCTTCCTGTCAGGTCAACTGTCATATCTCTTTTGACTTGGAAAGACTCCTTTTTATTTTCTTGCTTATTTCATGTTTCTCAACTGTGTCATTCATATAAGGATATCTCCAGGTGCTTAAACTCTGGATTGGATGGGGTCTAATTTATTGAGAGTGGGTTCTGAGCAAGGAGGGGAAAATCCAAAAATCACCATCATAGTGATTTCATGTAACTGAACTCAAAATACAACCTGTAAAATTACAAGAACTTTGGAGACAGAAGACTCCAGGGCTTGGTAGAAGGATTTCTGCTCTACATCCTCAGGGATTAATTACATACTTATTATTATAATTAACTATATATCTTATGTAGTTCATATATATATTATAATTAACTACACAGTTAAATTGTATGTGTCCTTTAGCAACCCAGAAACTGAAATGAGGAACAATCTTTTGAAACAGAAGTAACTTGTATTTGGAAGCAGCAGTGCCCAGTTTTATTGAGTAGAGGACATGGTCACAGAATGTCACAGCTGAAATGAGAACACCTTGGAGATGATTCTAATGCCATTATTTTCATCAGGAGATGAGGACAGCAAGACTTAGAGAAGTGATTTGTCCCCAGCTTCATGAGTCACTGTACAATTTGCATCAATTAATTAAAGTGTGGCATATTAAACACATATCAAGCATAAACAAGAAAATTTAGCCTTTGAGGCAAACAGCCATGTGTTAACTTCATCTGTTATGAAGTAGATGGGTGGGGGACATGCCAATACACTGTCCAAACATATGCCTGAGCTCTTGCCTCTCTTCTATCTATAAAAGGCCTCTGGTCCAGAGTAAATGGGCTAAGTAGTAGAGCAGATGTCCAGGCATAAATAAATCTCATGCCTGCAAGCTGTATACAATTCCATCCAGAGCAGAATAATGATACACTGGAAGGACAGGTGTCTTTCCCAGATGTCTGAAGGAGAATGGACACTTTCCTTTGTAGCAGCAGTGGAGGGGCTGGTCCCTTGGCTTCAAAGGAGCCAGATGTGGCTTTGGTACATCTTTTCTTGGTCTGTATATTTTCTGGATGTTTCTCCACAACAAATGTGGTCTCTCTCTGAGATGGTAAGCTCCTAGGGGACAGTGACCATGTGTCTTACCAGCTTTGCTTGACTATCACCGAATGACTGTCAACCAGAAAGCTGGGGATGGGGCACAGTTTCAGAGGGCTGGGTTTCTCAAAATTGATGATTTCCGGACTGGTGACCAGAGGCTGGCTGCAGCAGGGAGGTGAAACAAGATGTCCAGACACCAACATTCTTGCCAGTCCTTATACCAGAAAAACACACACCCAAGAGCCATCTGAGATTGTGTCAGTGTGAGGACAGAAAAGCACCCTAAGCATTCAGCCTAAGTAATGGTACGAGAACACCAAAAAGCAATAGAAATGTGTGGTGGTGGTGGTGGTGGTGGTGGTGGTGGTGGTGGCGGCAGTCAGGGGAGGGGGGAGGGGTTACATTTTTCTTTGACCTGAAGGTAGATTTTCACTTACTGCATTTTCTTTCCTTTTAGATCTAGTGCCTACAAGTCTGTGTTTATTTTCAAGTCGATCTCAATGCAACACTTAAGGGAAAGAAGTCCTTTTGTGAAATCTGTATAAAACCATGTGGGAGGAGAGAGAAGATCCACATGCAAATCCAGCCTGAGCTCCATCAGCTCTGCACCATTCCCTCCTCCAAGACCACGTGTGTCTAAAGTATTACATAGTATTTCCCCCTTTCGTATTCATTTCTACCCACCATAATGAAAGTCTACATTACTTATTCAGTGGGAGGACAGCGAGCATTAAAAATATTTTACACTTTGAGGCCCGAGATACCTGAGTCCTGGCTCTGCCACTTAGTCATTACATTACTTAAGCAAGTGCTTAATCTTTCAGAGCCTCAAACCTCCCCAATCAGATGGGTAGACAAGCCTCGTGGGAGGGGCCCTGCCTCATGGGGAAAACTATTGGCAAGTGGGCAGAGGAGTAAATAACCAGGCTCTCTGAGGGGAGGAGGCAGGGAGCATCCTGCTGAAAGTCTGGCCCTGCTGGGCTAGGCCCTGGTGGCAAGTGAGGAGATAAGAAGAATTCATTACATACGGGACTCCGATCTCAAAGATGTTATTCTGGATCAGCTGCTTCCCCAACATGATGATGCTGAGCTGAATGCAGAGCTCCATAAGGCAGCCTCCCGGAGCACACTGCCCAGAAGAGAAGATAACAGTAGATGTGGTTAAGACCAAGGGGAGCTCAGAGAAGCAAGGGCAAAAAGTAAAGCGTGCGAAACGGGGAAAGGGTGAGGCTGAGGCCAGGGGGGCGCCTACAAACCACCAGCCAGCCATGGATCACTGGTGGCTATACTTGCCTCTTCCATGCGGTAGCCATCAAATACATAAACGTAGCTTCCAGGTCTGCCCACGAACCTGAAATCCACAAGCATGGGAGAGTTAGGGAAGGAGAAAGGCAGGGTTGCTTGTAGGCATGGCCTTCAGAGTGGAACAGCCACCACCTGGCATCCTCTTTGAAAGTAGGGGCTAAATCACCTAGGGCCCTTCACCTGTACTACCCAGGGTTCCAGGGAATAGGGGCCGAGGTTGGAGCTGGTGTGGGGCTGGGAAGGTCACATGTGTGGGTGTGCATGTGTGACAATCTCTGAGCCTAAACACCACATGGTTTGCATGATACCTAAGTGTACTTTCTGTGCACCTTCTTCCCCCAACTAATGCCAAGAATTGAGTTCTGATTGCAGCTCCTCGGTGAGAGCTTTTGATTTCCCAGGAAATGAAGGGGGAGACAGGCCAAAGTTGCAAGTACAGATTCCTGGGGTCCGAAAAGAAAAATCCAGACTCCTAACTGAAAGCACCTGAAGGAATGGAAGCAGCCTGCCTCATGCTTCTTCCAAGTAGGGTCTATTTTACTGGGGAACAAGAGGATGGGGCAGGTGGGGGTGAAGCAGAGAGGTAAAAGCCAATCATGGAACCAGACAGGTAATGAGAAGATTCCTTTTCACTTGTAATGTCAGCCCCTCATCCACCTGTTGAAATCCTACCCATCTATTTAAGGCTCAGCTCAAATCTTTCCTTCTCTGTGAAGTCTTCTTACTGTCTCTGTTCACAATTACATATTTCCCCATCACTTTCTTAACACTTCTCTTATGGCATTTACTGCAGTGTGCTGTTGACAAGACCATCTTTTTCAATATGCCACAAATTTACCTAAGGGTCAGGACCCTATTTTTTGGCCTGGAATTTCCATGTATAAAATTTGCTATGGATATTAAATCTAGAGACAAAGCACCAGTGGAGTATATACCCATTAATACAGACAGTCTCTCTACTACTATAATTTCATAAGAGTCAAGAGCAGAGATCCCAGGAAGGACGCTGTGGTTTTAGTCAAAAAACATTTATAAGAAACTATCAAATATGTACAAGAACAGTTCTTGCTATCAATGCCTGCTTGATGAGATTTTAGTGATAGGAAAGCTTCTTGACAGTTAATCATTACTGGGAAATCTCCTTATAGGTAGCCAAGTGATCTAACCATGAAAAGTATTCATCAGAAGTCATTTTACATCCAGACAGTCTATATAATAAAGAATCTGACTGGCCTTTGTTGTTGGTTCTTGGGAAAGCCTCTACATCCTTAGAATTTCTTGGTTGGAGTCTCTTTGTTATTCATGGTGGCCTCTTGGGACTATACCTAAATTTATGCTAATGAGATCACTCAGGATGGGGGAGGCTGTGCCAGAAAAACCAACTATGTGATTAGAGGGTTGAACCTTTGATCCATGTAATAGCAGCCTGACCTCAGGGAGAGAAGGAGGACTGGAGGTTGAGCTCAGTCACATGGTGAATGATCTAACCAATCATACCTACCTACGTACCGCAACCTTACAAATTCTGGCCACTGAGGCTTGGATGAGCTTCATGGTTGATGGTACACATCAACGTGCCAGGAAACTGATCCATCTTGAGGACACGGAAGCTTCTGTTTAAGACCTTCCTAAATCTCACCCTATGTGCCTCTCCCATTTGCTGGTTTGGGTTTGTACCCCCTTTCTATCGTAAAACTGTAATTTTAAGTGCAGCACATTCCTGAGTTCTGTGAGTCATTCTAGAGAATTATCAAACCTGAGGAGTTAGTGGTCGTAGCCAGTGGGTACCAATCACAAGTGGCATAGGAACCCCAGGGCCTGCAGCTAGTGTTCGGAGTGAGCAGTCTCGTGGAAGATCATGCCCTTACTTGGTGAAGTATGTGCTAACTCAGGGTAGCTAGTGTCAGAAATGCATTGAAAGACTTCCAAATCACTCACCAGACCTGAAATTTCCTCCTACGTCATCCTCAAAGTTGGGATGTCCAGATTATTCTAAGACTCACCCTCTGGGGCCCAGGGTCAAATCCCTGCAGTTTCCCTGGTTACCTGAATCTGAAGATTCTAATCCAAAATGATGTGGTGCGAATGCCATTGTTTCAGGAATGACAAGGTGGGGACAGAAGTGGGGAATAGGACTGAGGGTGTGAATGGGCAGCAGGGACAAGCTGACTCTAGCAGGGACCCCTGTCTTAGTGACAAGTCACCACGTGTGACACCATTATACTCACCGCCCCTTGAAAAAGGCCACATAGAAGATAGGCGAGTAGGCATTGACAAACTTTAGCAAGAAAGCTTTGAGTATCAGGCGCTCTTCAAAAGTCTGTTCTGTTTTTGGAACCTCTGAAAGATAAGAGCAAAGATGCTAAGACTGAGAGGCATATTTTTCACCTCTTCAGAGTTTTAATCCCTATTACATAAGCCATTGGTCTCTTGGCTCTTACTGCTTCAGGGTAGAAACCAAGAGACCTGTCTCTCTAGCACAGCAGAACTGAAGTCATCTGGGAGTCCCAAATGGTTTACCAGATACTATGAGGCTACAGAAGGCCAAGGGTACATATAATCATCACCTTTCTCCTTCCACTTCCCTCTTCTTACCCACTCTAGCAATGGTTTCTTACCATACCCCTCTGAGGGGGATCTTGGCTGGCAGAACTTTCTCCAACCACCCTCTCTTCATCAAGGGGTAGTCAGCTTTTCCCTGTGTGATTGCTGCTTCCATAAGATTTTATCTGAACAAAATCCCTGATGAAAAAGGCTTGTTAACCAATGAACAACAGTCAATAGGCAGCAAAGACTTGTCTTGGGCACCATGACATTGTTCCTCTTTTCCGCCTCCTCCATTTCTAGCAGGACAGCCTGGATCTGTGTGCTCTCTGGATACGCTGAGACACTTCTCATGCACTCACTCAAATGATGAAGGATCATCAGATAAGTGAAATAAGCACAAGCCTAATAATGTCTCAAACTCGGGGGCCACAGCCCCATTGAGTTCTATGAGGTCCAAGCAGAGGAGCCAGCTGATAATCCCCAAAGGGGCCTGAGAAATACTGAGCAGAAAACCTCACTGATGCCTTTGGAAGACCCGAGACCCATGGGATGCTCGGTGGACAACTGGGCAGAGTGTTTGATGGGGATTTCATAGACTGTGACAAATGGCTTGGCAAAGATAGGAGGTTAAAGGGTCACATTTCAGGGGCAGAAAGAAAGCACCAGCCCTGTATCATGTGCACTGATAAGTATCGCCTGAAAGCGTGCTGAGCACAGGGCCAAAGTACCAGGACCATGCCAGCCAGGAGGTTCCGTGTCCAGATGAGGCTGACACATGGACCCACCTGACTTGTCTGCCCACCTGACTCACACATAGCTTTTGTCAGGATCTTTGGAAAAGTGGACACGAAACTCTGTTCCCTCCCCTGGAATTCCTTTCCCTGGGCCCTCCTCTCATGTACAAATCCTTCATATCCTTTACCATTCAGATCAGATGTTGCCTATAATCTCCTTCCTGAAGCCTTCCCAGATGACGTCAGATGGTAGAAATCTCTTTTTCTCCTACAGTATTTTACATTTCTCTGTATTAATTACCCACATCCAAGCCCTTTGAAAACCACAACAGTAGCTTTAATTAATCCTCTGTCTTACTTGGGGTGGCCCTCTGTGTCAAGAAGTAAGCAGTTTGGGAGTAAGTGGCTTATTTGGGAAGTGCTCCCAGGAAGCTTGGGGTAGTGAGACAGGAGTGGGGAAGACAGCACGGATGTGTTCACGAACAATTTAATGCAGCAGGCTACCAGGGCTCAGTCCCACTGGGGGGGGGGGTCTTTTTAGAGACTGTGAAACCCCCCTCATAATTATTACACTGAGGAGTGAGAGCAAGTGAAGCCCCTACCTGGTTGAAGGTTACTGCTGGACTTGACTCCCTAGCACTTCCACCTTGTCCTATGCATGGGCTGAGCATGCTCACAACCAGAGAACACCCACATGCAGGGAGCTGCAGTGACCTCCTGGGTGGCCAAAGGGATCATGCGCTTTCAGGAGTATCTGCTCTGATCTGCTCCACACCTGTTGCATACATCTGCTATCTCACGTCATCCTTACCTACTTGTGTTGGGGTGGGGTGGGGGGGGCGGGGAGACAGTACATCTCACTGTTATAAATAAAGGCAGCTCAGATCCAGAGAGATTAGAGCCTTGCTCAAGATCACACAGCCACAGTGGCTCTTATGGATTACGTAAGAGTTAAGGTTTTGAACTCATATCTGCCTGTCTTCAAAGACAATTTTTACTCTGCCGCACTGTGAAATCAAGATCTTTGATTACTGTTTACATCGCACATCCTCTGTCACCTCCCCACCCTCCACCCGCAGTCTAACATGATATATACCTAGGAAATATCTGTGACTGTTCAGTCCACATTAATTGAACACCCGCCGTATGATGCCAGGATGAATGAAGACTTTACACTCCTCAAAGAGCTTAATTTAGCAAGGTCTCTGTGAAAACCTTTTGCAAACTGCTAAGTCTTTTCAAGACTGAATCTATGAGTGGCAAGGTATCATTTCCCCTCAGGTCATAGCGGAAGGGGATCTTAGGGAAAGAATGCTGTATTTCCATGATCTGTTTTCCCACACAGCACAGTGCGCCCCTCATTCATTTGCAATCTTAGAACACAATCCTGAGGATAAGAGACAGTGCCCAACATCATCAGTGTGGTCCAAGCACAAGCATAAACCTACTAAAGAGACAGTCACAGGCATGTGTGAGCTCTTGGGGATGAATGGCCATGGGAGGGGCCTTGAGAATGGGAAAGCTTAGAGATGCAGGTAGTGATCACAATTGTGATCTGGCCTTGACTTCTCTCTAGGCCGAAAGAGCCTTGGGAGATGAGAGCTACTCGTTGTTTAGTCATGTCCTAGCCCCCATGAGCCCTAAGAAACATGGCATCATCCTTAGGCAGGCAGTGACATGGAAAACCAGCTCATTCTCCAGGTGCCTCATCATCCTGAAGCCTACTTGAGTTTGCTTATGCTTACGAACAGTCCTAGAGGCCCTGGCAGGCCATGCCGAACCTACAGAGCACCCAGTCACGCTATTCTGGGCTCAGCTGTGTGTTGAGGGGAGTGACTATTTGATTGTGTCACTCCAGAGGTGGCTGTAGGGGCAGATTTTTGCATCAGACACACCTGATTTCAAATGCAGAGCATAATTAGAGGTCTGAACTTCTATAAAAAGAATAATGACATCCGCCCAACAGGGTTGCCCTGAAAACTGCATAGGATTCTTAGAAAGCCCGCAGCCTAGTGCTTGGCAAGTGCCAGACCTCAATCAAGGATAGCTTCTGTTGTCCTAAAGTGTTCTCTTCTTGCATCACCTCCTCCAAGCTGGCAGCCCTGCTTTCTGCAGCACGGTTGGGCCATCCGTGGCCAGGTGTTTGTGCACATGTCTTAGCCCCAAAGATTCTGGGCATCCTTTCCATGTTGTTTAATGAGCACTTTCTACCAATCAACGGGGAGGATAGTGAGATCCTGCTGGCACATAGCTGGGAAAATCTAATCGAAACAGCCCGTCCTCACCTCTGCAGAAGTCCACCACCCAAGCTTCCCGAGGTTCTCCAGACAACTATGAAAATAAACACTGCCAGGGAATCTGGAGACACTGTCCTCATTTTATAGGAGATGAAGTTGGAAAAGTCTACCGTGCTATCCCTCAGCTGGCAGACAGCTTGGTAGTTTTCTCCTTCCTTCCACGCCTGGAGGGACACGGCATTGCCCATGAGACAGAAGTCCGGGCCAGTCCCACACTGCCTTGCCCAATAAGCATTTGGATAATGATCTGTGTTCACCATTTACAGTGAACACTGTCTCAGCTGCTATTTCTTCTTTAGTTTATGTACATCAGCAAAGCCCCTCAGATATTTAAACTGTAAGGCCTTTTCTGTTCCTGCTACAAATTCTGCCTGACAAAGAGGCCAGTGCATCCCTGTTTGATTTATGCTTCTCAAGTCTTCCCTGGGCTCAAGATCCACATCCCTTTCTTCGGTCTGATTCCTATTCTCCTTGACAAAAGAAAAAAATGCTGAGGCCCAGGAAATGCTTACCATCAATTTCTAAGGTCACTTTCCATTTTAAGATCTCATAACCATAGGGGTGCCTGGGTAGCTCAGTCTGTTAAGCGTCTGACTTTAGCTCAGGTCATGATCTCATGGTTCGTGGGTTCAGGTACCGTGTCGGGCTCTGTGCTGACAGCTCAGAGCCTGGAGCCTGCTTCAGATTCTCCCTCTCTCTCTTTCTCTCTCTGTGCTCCTCCCTGGCTTATGCTCTCTCTCTCAAAAATAAATAAACATTAAAAAAAAAGATCTCATAACTGTGAACCCCCATGTGACTGTTAACCCTCACTTTCCCAAGCCCCATGCCACCCTCCCCTCGCCATGCATGGTTTGGGTGGCAAAACAAGGAGCATAGTCAGATACACCTTCTGGTAGGCCACAGCTATCACTAGATGTACTCTTCTAAGCATATTCATTGAAAGAATGAATGAATGAATGAATGAACGAATGAATGACATGAAAAAATATGATTTGGAATAGTGAAAAAATATTTATCATTTATTAAAAATTCCCTGTCATATTCCAAGGACCACTGTTTGTGGGTATGGAGTCACAAGAAAGACAGATCTGCCTAATTTCAATTTCAATTTAATTTAATCGATTTAAATTTCCCTACCTTATCCACAAGATAAGAGCTGGGGATGTTGGGGTTAGATGCAGGGCCATGCCCATGCCACGCAAGGGGCAGGGAGGGACAGGAGGTGAGGTGCTCTCTGCCAAAGAAGAAATGTAAGTGATGGGGGAGGGGCAGAGGCACCCAGCAGAAATGTTCATTAACTTCCCTGTCATTTGTAGTGGGATCCCATCATTAGCATCTCCACAGAATCTTTAGTAAAGACGCATTAAAACCTGCTTTCCTCACCACTGTTGAAAGAATTCTGGGTTTGTTCTTAGGGGAGGGATATGCCAAAGGACTGAGTCCTGCTTCAACATGGCCACAGGTCATGAACAGAGACCACCATGTGCCCTGTTGTGTTACAGAGGAGAAAGAGACACAGAGAGAAGGAAGGAGGGAAAGGGAAGGAAGGAAGGAAGGAAGGAAGGAAGGAAGGAAGGAAGGAAGGAAGGAAGGAGGGAAGGGGGGAGGAGAGAGGGATGGAGGAAGAGAGGAAAAGAAAGGAGGAGGAGAGAGGAGGGGAAGGGAGGAAAGAGGACGGAAGGGAGACAGGAAGGAGGAGGGGAAGGGAAGGGAGGGAAGGAGGGATGGAGGGAGGGGAGGAAGGAAGCAAAGGCTTTCAGTA